TCTGCTTCCATACTGGGGAGACAATCATTTTCAAGTGTCTTTCGTAACATGTTTTCCGTCAATGCATCATCAGTTGACAGCAGCTTGGATGACTTTGACTTTTCTTCCAAAGGGGACTGGAGAAAAGAGGCAGAACTCTTACGAGCTAAAGCGCAGGCAATTCGCTCAGAAGCGAGGGCCATGGAAGTGGCACTCCTCGCCAATAAGAAACAACAACGAGACGCTAAAACATCAGAAAGCGACAATGTCATTGATTCCTTGTTTCCGCCCAAACTTCCATTGCCACCTCCCCAGAAGCTGGCCGAACAGTTGAAAACAGAACGCTGGTCCATCGAGGTGATTAACATGGTGGTGGACCGCATGTTTGAACGGCAGATGATTGCGGTGGGACAAAAGATACCTGAAGACAAAGGGTTGGATTTTTCAGTAGGAGGTCGAGCTGACAAGATCATTCAAGTTGATGGCCCGGAGTTTGACCGATTGGAAGGTGCCTTGGACATTCTACAAGAGGCAGCGGCCGTGCTGGATCTTGAAGTAGAAACAGAAGAGCAAGAGGCGCAAAACCAAACGGGCTCAAAAAGTAATGTGGCAAGTCGACGAAGGCGAGGATGGGATGGACGTCTGGAAAGTGCTATCACTGCTAGGCGAAACGAACTGGATCGAGTCCAACGAGAAATTCGCAATCGAAAGTTTGCTACAGAGATCAACAGGATTGCCAATACCAACCAATCAATTGCCGAATTCATTCGAAGATCTGCTCTCAACCTATCGCTTGCCAATGACAACCAGGAGGAGGCAGATTTGGTAACCTCAGACAATCCAATAGACAATGCCACCCAAGTCCTCGAGACCTTGAGGTTGACTCCCATGTGGGTTCCAGCCTCCTTTTTGCCGTACATTATTTCATCGGGGAAATCTACGCTAGGGCCCGAACAAGTGCAACTTCTCGAAAGTAGCGTCTTGCAGGGCAGTCGATTCTTTGTCACTTCTTCGGATTCGATCCCAGGTGCTGCCATTTTCCGGGGAAACTTGCGCACCATTAGTGGAACCATGATGCAAAATACGACGGCACAGCAAACATCTGCTGTCTTTGGTGAAATCCAGGAACGATTGCAAAAAGAAGGACTGGCAGAGGCCGTCCAGTTATTCTTCTTGCCGGATCCGGAGTGGCAATTCAAACGAGACGAAGTTCAACAAGCACCCAAACCAGTGTTACTGGCATTGTCCAAATCAGTATCACCAGATATGAGCATCAGCAGTACTTTGCCAAATGCAAAATTAATTGCTTCCACCAAATCGGTAAGTGAATGGCCGAAGCAATCGAGATTGTGGTCTTACTTCAGCATTCTCACGATTCGTTGTTGTTTCTGTTACTGTTCAATTGCTGATAGGGGATTGCCTATGCGCTGGCAATTTTCACCACGTTGGCCTATTCTATCTCTACCTACGCTTTGAATCCATCATTTTTCAAGGCCATTGTGAATCATGGAAAGGCAAGAGTTCTTGCTCGGTGTGTTCCCATTTTCCTCGGGGTTGTTGGTATTCAATTGGTACACGAAGCAGGTCATTACTTTGTTGCCAAGCGTCGAGGAATGCGAATAGGCAACCCAGTTCCAGTCTTTTCCTTTTCCACCGGACTCGGTCTGTATGGTTGCATCACACCACTCAAATCGTTCCCGCCCAATAGAGCATCTCTATTGGATTTTGCCCTCTCGGGACCTTTTGCGGGCATTCTGGCTTCCTTGGGTTGTATTATTGCAGGAATTTCCATGACTACACGAGCCTCGACAACTGCCTTGTCTACATTTCCATTCGTCACCGCAGCCAAGCTAAAGTCGAGCTTCTTGGTTGGGTCCATACTCTCCTGTCTCGCTTCCAAAAGTATCATGCTACCAGCTGCACAACCCGTTCCAATTCACCCCCTCTTCACTATTGGACACTCGGGACTGGTCGCATCCGCATTGAATCTACTTCCGATTTTTCGATTGGATGGGGGAAGGGCCTTTGCGGCTGCCATGGGAGCCCGACAAACTCCGATAGTTTCCGTGGCTGCATTGTTACTCCTCTTATCACAGTCACTCACAGGGGGGTCAGCAATCGGGTTTGCATGGGCTATTATCATATTAATCTTTCAGCGACGGGACGAAGTTCCTGCGCGAGACGAAGTCACAGATATCGACAATCTTCGTTTCGGAACATGGCTTTTCTCTCTGCTACTCTCCTTTGCTATCTTGAGTCCATTCCCAGGTAACCGCGGAATCATACAATAAGTTCTCATAATGCTTAGTATCGCTATTCACTTCTTATTGCTGTCTTCTTCCGAGAAGAGTTTATGCTCGCTTCTTTTGACGGAATCAATCAACCACACTCCAAAGTTGCGAACTAGCTTAAATTCCATCAGCTGTGGCTCTTTGCCACCTTCAAAGTACAAGGCTACGTTGACAAAGGCAAAACTCGGCAATCCAACCAAATCGTGTTGCCCAGTGCTCAAGGCACCATCCATCACATCGAGCTTGCAAAAATCCAACAAACCCGAGAATTGAGACACCTGAAGTCGTTTCGCCAGCATGGTGGGTGTCAAGGAGCCCCGAAGTAGCTCCTTCCAGGTATCTCCTCCTCGACCTCCACCCCATCGCTCTCCCCGACTTAAGGGTGCACAAAATCGCAACAAGACTGCAGCTCCATGGGGGCATGGCTCTGGATCATCCAACGCTCTCAAGGATGTGACAGCATTCTCCACTGTTGTCTTGGGAGAATATTCTGGCAGTGGCGACAAGGCGTCATCTTTAAAGTCATATTCTCCTCGAAGAAATGAGTCAATGGAATCCTCCAAAAGATCATTGCTTTTGCTTCCCAATCTCATTTGCTCAATGTCTCCATCATTTCCTTCGGATGTCACAGCAAGCGGAAGAATAAGTCTGTTTACATTTGCTTTCTTTAAGAGTATAAAAGCATTCGATGTGCCCAAAGATAAATGCGATGTCTGCTGAAAGGAAAGACAACCAGGAACAATCACGAACAGTAACGTCGCCACCACCCGTGACATGATTGTATGAGCATCGTTGTTGGTGTGTTTCAAACTTCGAAAGTTCTGTTTCGAATTTCTGTCGCGTCCGTCCGCCGCCCGCCCAATCGGAAACATCATTGATTGATTGGTTCGAATACAGGAAGTGAGACACACCCCCTTTATTAAATTTTTTTTAAAAGAGACCGTTCCAAATTGATTGTCCTTATTCTTCGTCATTTTTTTCAGTTTCCCGTCGACATTGTTCAATGATCTTATCAGAAGTGGGCTTAGATGCAGCAGAAGGATTTACAGCAGAGTGGCGAGAAAGATATCACAGTTGAGGCTATTCTTGCTCCTACTAGTGGTTCCCCAAATGATCCAGACGATTCGGACGCTGAGGAGGAGGTGCTGTTGTGTCCTTTGGAACTAGATGCTGCGACCGTAACAGCAGGCTTAGCTGCTTACGAAAAACTGCTTTGGAAGCATGGGATGTATAAAGCGGCCAGCGCAGCACAATATGCCAGAGAGGAAATCTTCCATGAAAGACGGAATGCAAAGCAAAAGCAACTCATAAACAAACGCAAACAAGATGCATCAAATAGACCTCAGAGCATACTTCCCAACAAGAAAACCAAACAGAATTGAGATCTAAAATGTGATTTAAAGATGATGGCAGTTTTCTCGTTAAAAAATTGGTTCCTGAAACTGCAATTTTTTGCCTTGTCCCAGTGGGGGGCGGCCCTATATCCTCTTACATTAAAAGAGGCGAACCACGCCTTGAGACACATTTTGGGCTATTACGGAGGGGTACCAGGTACCCTTACTGTATATCGTTCCGCGGGTACACTCTGGCTCACTGATCCACAAGCTTAAGGGTGCTTCCATCGTACCAGGTACCGGTACCGGTAGCAGGTACTGTCAGGTTCCCACAGTCACAAGTGACTCCAGTTGAGAACAAATAGGCTTGTTTCTCAAGAGAGAATAGTACTGTATTGCCTACGACAAAGTACGTGACAGCTCGACCCATTTACCAAGCAACACAGGGGGCAACAACGACGAAAGCATCGCTCCGGGTCTTCTATTAGACCGAAATCCTGGTGCCTGGCTATACAAAGAGACCACTAACTACTGTAGTAGGTAGTGATTCTACTAAATTAACGCCAGTAGAACAGTGGGTCTAGACTGCCACTGCCACACGTTTGGCACGCGGTGACGAGCTGGGCCGGTGACCGAGTGAACAAACACTAAGTGAAGATGCTTGTTTGTTCCAGCAAGAAAGTCAATACTACGGTACTAACTACTAACTAACCATGCTTCTTTGCATTTTACAATTTTTCTATCTCATAATGCTAAGCAACAAAGTTCAATGATAGCTCTTTTTCTTCAGGCCTTGAGAATCGTTCGTTGCTCTCTTTGAGGGATCGTTCCCAGTCGCTGTTGCTGTGAGCACTACCAGTCGCAGAGGAGGATATTGTGGAAGTGCAATCGTCGTCGTTGTCAGAGATAGACGCTACCAGACCAAAAGCAAGCGATCCATCATCATCATCGTCTGAAATTTGGCTAAGCTGAGATCCAACACTAGAAGTCAAACCTTGAGCGCAAGTCGCAACACAAGCCATGTTGCTTAGTACCCTATCATCACCAGCAGCTCCACCACAACATGGAAACGAGCTTTCAGGCAAAATGGCGATAAGGTTAGAGGGGGTAGAGGCTGGTTGTTTCGATGGACATTGCTCCATCTCTGGACGATGTTCTTCTTGTATGCATTCATTTCGCAGCTTCCGGGCTAGAATCCGCCCAGAAGAAGTATCTGGTCTCTCGCGCGCTTCCTTCCTCTGTTGGACTTTGATGGCTTCTCGCAATGCATGGCTAACCTTTTCTCTGGAAGCTTTTTTATCTAACTGATACCATCTGCCTGTCCGAATATCTCTCTTGAGAAAACCACCATACCTGCTGACGGAGGTCCTTTCCTTCACCGTCTCAATGATGCTGCTCACAATGAACGATTTATGAAGCCTGGAATCGGCTTTCCTGTAGGCTGCCGCATTATTTGCAATGTACATTCTGTACTGCTTATTGCCAACTTTTGAGTGGTCACAGCATAGATGTGAGTAGGCTACTCCTTCTAATATATTACAGCAAGTTCACTGCCGCACACCCTCTGGCAGACCAAGCACAGCTTTTCGTGACTTACCATGCTCAAAAGCTTCTTTCCCTCCGCAGCATATTACATCCCCTTCTCCGGGTTCAAAGTTCTTTGGGAAGGGGTCCGTACAGGCCGAACGAGAACCACACTGCTGACGTCTAATGTCCGGATCATCAACTTCACCGATTGGTTTGAAGTAATCAAGGCAGTCGTTGTCTACCATTATCTCACTAGTTGTCTTTTCTGGAGGTTCCAATGACACCATGACATTGTCAACAGGTGCTTAGATTATCTTATCCCGGAAGCATTCAATGCCAAAGTGCGTTTTTGGCTCAAAAAGAGAAATGGCCTTTTGTTAAGTGTTGGCTATCGCGCGTGAAAATGTGACTTCAATATGATGGAAGAACACACACGGGACACAAGAACTTCACGGGAACAAGAAAATCGAACCTTCGCTGAGATTCGACTCTTCATCACACTTTGAACTTGCAGACTACGCCAACATTTTTATCATTCGCGAATTCAAAGGATCGCATTCGGCTCCGATCCAACTTCACACGAAGCGCCCGATGTGTGCTCCAGCAAGTTGAAGGAGAATGGAGAACGATGAAGAAAACAACCTTCTCGGCATCCCTTGTGAAGACATTGATTGACATACGGTATGTGGTGCATGAAATCCAAAACCTGCAGTAGCGAGTCATAAATTAATCAGTCTTTCAGCAATATGAACGTCACAATAGGAACAACGAAGGGACATAGCCATTTGTGAATGTGAAACCTACTCTCTTTGCACACAAGTTCGGGATAGATACAAACTTTGCTCATCAATCGTACCTATGCATCGATTCATGCATAATTTAGACTTTTAGGTAGAGGTATTAAAATAATTTTTAAAAATTGAAGTCGTAGTTCAGCCCATGGGGTCGTTCGACAGCGGAAGTACATAGCCAGCGTTGGACACCTGCACCTTCGTATAACGATATGTAGCAACATCAGTGATGTTTGAAAGAGACGGGCTCAGCTCGTGAAATAGGTCCATTCATTGTCAGATTTCAGGAAACGCTCGGTACATTCCTTTAATGACTGCTCCCAGTCGTCGTCCCAGGTAGCAACCAATCCAAGAATTTCATTAAAGGGGCAATCGTCACCTGTACCACGAGGCTGCAATCCTTGCTTCAAGCAGTTTTGGGAGGTTTTGTCAGGGAACATCATGCTTGATACAAGACCGGAAGGTGATTCTTTCGAACACATCCGACTCTCAAGAGCAAGTTTTGACCCAGTTAGTATATCCGTTTGTAGACGCCCTCGGATGTTAGGAGACACCCTTGTATCAAGCCTATCACTGATCTTTCTTTGCCTTGCCTCTTTCCTCTTTTGAACCTTGATGGCGTCCCTCAGAGCATGACTAACTTTTTCTCTAGCGAGCTTGTCTTCCACCTGGAACCATCTACCGGTCGATCGGTCCTTCTTGACAAAGCCTCCGATTCCATTCTCGGCTCGTTCCTTGACGGAGGCGACGATTTTGCTGACAAGCATGGACTTATGATATTTTGACTTGGCATTTCTGTACGCCGTCAAATTGTTTGCAATACATAGTCTATATCGTCGGTTCCCAACTAAATGATGCAATCCAATTGAGTGAGTGAGTGAGTGAGTGTTTCAAATACCGCAAAACGTCCAATTGACTTGAAAAACGTACCATGCTCAGATCCTTCTTTTCCTCCACAGCACAAGACATCCCATTTTCCTGGTTGAAAACTCTCTGGCAAGGGATCAATGCAGGAAGAACTCTTCTCTGTTTCGATACGAGTACCGGTAGGGGTGGAAGGACCAACTTCTTGGAGATAATCAAAACGGCTTTTATTTACCATCATGTTGTTTTGCAAAAAAATGATGCTTTGACCGTGATTTTGTTTCGAACAGCTCAAACTCTCCACAGTGACGAAAGTTCCGGTCACAGTCGTGATCGGCATCGTTTTATATTTTCTGAATTCACTGTGGGACTTCTGCGTTGATCTCGAGTTCTCATGCAGCATTGTGTTGACCAAGAGTCTCAAGTGCGAACTGACACTCGATTTAAGTCCAGGGTTTTGCGAAGTAAATGAGAGATACGTGGTAATGAAAATTACTCCGAATTCACGTATTACGTTGAACTAGAATCATATTTATCCGATTTTCCGTGATAGGAAGGTTCAGGAGCTCGATCAGATGTGTAGTCTGCCATTTGTTAAATTTTCTTGGGAGATTTTTGTTAACAACTACCAGGTATTAATAAAATACCAGGTATTATTAAGACGGGATTTTTAATTAATAAAAACGTCTGGGGTAGCAAAGAATAGAAGCCGGAAGCCGTACTGTAGAAACAGGTAAATTCTCCTTTTTTACTTCAATTTGAGCCCTTGCGAAACGCCAAGATCAATGGTCCTGTACCGTCGGTAATGCAACTAATGAATGACACCAATTCAATATGACGTATTTAATGGTCCTGAAAGAAAAAACCACCCACGCGGCTGTGCGCTCTCCTTGCTTCAATGACTTTTCATCACAATATATAAAAGCCACCACAGTGTAATGACTTCAGGATACCGAATAACGTAGAAACATAAGTTAATTCTCCCCATGTGCTTCAATTCGAGCTCTTGCAAAACGCCACACTACTGTAAGACCACTAGAGCTGTACGTGTACCGCAGGTAATGCAACTGATGAATGATATCAAGAAAAAAATTGTTCCTGGAAGAAGAAAAGCGCTCCTTCAATCAAGGATTCAATCCTTGATTCAATGACCAATGAAAGGTACCAGTAATACTGACTTCAGGATATCGTACCGAATAAAGAAGAAATTCTCTTCTTGTGCTTCAATTTGAGCTCTACTCTAGCGTTTCGCTGTCAGCAAAACGCTATCAATAGTTCTGTACCGCCAGAAGTGTAATAATTAATGAATGATATCAATAAAATACAGTACAGTATGCCGTATTTTTAACACCCGCGATGCCTCCTTCAATCAAGGATTCAATAACCAATGCTAGCTGACTTCAGGATACCGAATACAGTGACGTACTGTAGAAACAGAAGTTACTGCATTTCTCGTTTTTTGCGTTCTTGCAGAACGCTACTGTGAGATCAATACCGGTAGAGCTTTAACATGATGTATTTAAAATGTTCCTGAAAAAAGATAAACACCCGCGATATGCTCCATCCTTCAGTCAAGGATTGATTGCACGAAACATTAAAATAAGTGTCATCAATATTGTACAAGCTACCGGTAATATCACATTCGTACTATGCTGCTCACGATGCAAGCGCCATCGTTCAAATATCACGCTGGGGGG